GGCATACCATCCGTACCCCCTTGATGTAAAGCATGTTTAGTTGTGTCATATGTGTTTTCTAGAATCAAATAGGCTGATATAGCACACGGGTTTTACAGATTTATCTACTCTCAAATATTTTTTTTGTAGATGATCGTTTTGAATCACCTTGTAGAAATAACGAAGGGAGAATTAGTTCAGCTAATGAATGAGTCGAGCTGTTTGATTGGATACTATGCCTATTCAGCCGATTATTTTAATAAGCCATTCTGGTCAGTAGGTCCACACATATACTATGCGGAGATCCAATTCTGTAAGTTTATAATCTGCGTATAAAGGCCCTTTTATACGTAAAAACTTAAAAATTGACCTTATAATTTCATGAGAACTTTGAAATGATCGACTCGTTCGTGTAGTGATTCACTTTAAAGGGTCTTGTTTATCGTACACTACAAGGACCCGTCAACTAGCGTTTAGTTTATCGTGTTCATAATTGACACTAGCAAAGGACATTGTATTCGCAGTCCCTAGTTGATGATGGAGCTTGACTATATCGGGAATAGTTATGCCCCACTTGGTACAGATTATGAAAATCAATTTGAATTGATTTTAGTTCGACAAGACCCTTTAAACTATAAGTATACGTATAAGTTTTTGAAACAACTTATAACGAAAATTCTCTATTATCGTTTGGAAACGGTCTATGAAAAAGTCTTATTCCACTGTGCAGACAAAGTTAAATACATAATTCAAATAAAAGCAAATTGTATAATCGATAGCTACCTTCACCAAAAATCTCTCTATCCCTAGAGACATCTCTAGTAGCTAATGTTTTACTTGTGATTTTTCTAGGTCGGTGTCTCCAGTTAATCACATTTCTTATTTCTCTAGAGATATCTACTTTCACTAGTGAATAGCTAATAAAACACCTAGTAAATCTTTAGTATTTCTCTAGTTTTTCTTAAATTCAGTACATTTACCATTAGTTCACTTATTTACCAAAGGGTGACAGTACATACAGTTATAATCCAAAATATGAATTGTAAAATTATTAAACTTCAGCGTACCATATATAACTAATTTCCAAAATTATGTCACAAAAGGTGGGTGTCATTTTTTGTGTAAGATCCAGTTGTGCCAGGAAAGGAAAAGACGACACATTTTGTAATGCTAATAAATGAGCTCATATGTGAGCTAGCCATCTGAAACTTCTTGTTCTTAGGACAGCTGAGCAGCGTGTGTGTATGTGGGAATATATAAGCGCAAATGCCAGAGGGAAAGAAATGTCAGTTGTGCTTCCTCTGGTGTGTTCGAGCGTTAATAACAGCCATCAAGCAATAGCTGACCTAAATAACGATTTAATCTGGCTATTAAAGCACCAATTGGAATTGTAAATAGCGGAAGTAGAAGTGTACATCTGGCTCATGCCCATAGACGCAAGTTACGTTTTAAATGTGTTCGATCGAGTGACAATGGCATAAAAAGTCACGTGATCACTGTTTGTTGACAAACGGGGTGTTCGTAATTTACAACTTCAAACTGACGAGTTAATTTATGCAAATTAATATGTTAATCCGGTGGCCGTTGGTTGCATTAGTGAATAAATATATTTGCGAATATGATGACAAAAAGATGAAGTAAAAAGTTGATTATCATATAAGAATTCATCCACACATTGAGCTGATCTCGTTTATTTACCAATTGTTCTGTATTCTGAAAATTGCAATTTGTTTTAGTCCGAATGATAATGGCATTTACTGCAAACAGATAAGCACCTTATTGTCAACATTGAAGTCATTTGCCATGACATGTGGTAATACAACCAATAATATCAACAACAATAACTTTAAATAATGGCTACCTGTATATGCTATCACACGAACGGTAATGTTTTTATGTATTGTTATTTGTTCAGTTTAATTTTATTTGAATATCGCGGTATAACTAATAAAGTATTTAAATTGTTACAAATCCATGGCTTTGGATCAGTGTTAAGTATAAAATTTTGAATTTGCAAATCGTTTCTGAAAATTCATTGCCAAAGACTGAATCAATGCATGGGTTCATTTAGCATACAAATACTATAATAGTTGACTGCCATTGAGGGTAATTGTGCAAAAATAATGTCCTGCTGGAATATAATGTCGATAAACGTGTTCCAAACGATATAAGATAATGAACATGATATTCCAAATGTGAAATTTCTTTATTCTTTTAATTAGAATATATAATAAGTCATAAAATTGCTTAACGCCATAACTCTGAAAATTGTACACATACAGGATATCGCTACAATGCTGAACATTAAGGCTATCTTGGGGATAAGCCTTTTCATAACTGTGCTACGTAAGTTATCATTTTAATTTCATATATTGATTTTAACTGTAATTTATTTCTTGACGATTGAGATTTTTAGTAATCAATAACGGGTGAAAAAAGTTGTTTTGGAAAAATTAATTGTGGTCGATTTGTAGTTTTTGAATTTTTTCTTTGCAGATAGCCTGGTAGTGGTAGAAGCAATGTATCACAATGACTGCATGATTAAATGTAAGTCGACGGGAACTAGTATCGTAAAGTGTAGGGTAGCGTGCAAGATTCCAAAGGTAAGTAAAATCCTAAATACAATATTTCAGCTAAAAGAAGCATACTATGTATTGTTGGATATCACAATACCCCAATCCAGGATCGTCAATGTCACTGTGACAATCAAACTGTCGAGAACGAGATACACTTTCTTCAACAGTGCAATTCTTATGTAGAACTGAGACTCCGTTGTCTTGAAATGTCTTGAGTAAATTCTGGATTTTAACACTTTTAATTATATTCAACAGTTTTGCTACATAATGAATGTATGACTACACCAAATCGACAAAGGACACTGTCAAAAACATTGCTAAAAATGCTTTAAAAACTTTCTTTAATTTAATAATCCCAAAAAAATTAATGTACCCTATGTAAAGAAAAAAGGTGCATGGTGCATGGTGCATAGTCAGTCATAGCATTTTCAAAATTTTGTATAATATAACTTAACTCCTAGAGGCACGTGGTATAAATAACTGGTGGAAATTAAAAAAAATAGATGAAAATTAAAAAAATAGCAATGGTTAAAAACGTTGTCTCGCAAACTCACTAATGTGACGTTTACCTTTACACTACTTTATAAATGACAATTTGCTATTATACAGTGTAATACATTTTCCTCTAAGCATAGGACATCATTTTCTATATGTTATATTCTTTAAAATATTATATGTTATACCATATGTTTGTAAAGCCCGTTCCAAACTGGTCATAACTGACAGGTTTGAAGTAAACATTGACACAGAAAATTATGGAGGTGTTAAAACCCGTCCGAAACATGATTTATAAACGAAACATGATTTAAAAAGCATGTGAAATTAGGGATATGCTGTGAACATTTTGCTCAATAAACACATTTACATATCACATCTGACATTTTTGGTATGCATAAGCTAAGTGTAGGGTGTATAACATATTTATTGGTCATTTAGAAAGATTAAGGGTTACAATTATCTTACAATTTCAAATTCATTGTCATTTATGTTACCCCTACACCTAATTTTGAACTGAGAAGAAAGAGACCTCTGAATCTAAAGCATATTACCCATACCTGTCAAATAAAAAAATAAGAAGCGAGATATCTTCGTTTAAAAAATCGGAAGAAGTCGGGATTTTTTAAAGAAAAATCTGGGATTTTTTAGAGAAAAATCTGAGATTTTTTAAAGAAAAATCGGGAAAAAATCGGTATTTCTATGAAAAATTGGGAGAAATCGGGATTGTTTGGGATAATCGGGAGTTTACGAGGAAAATCAGGTGGAAATCGGGGTTTTCAAAAATAATCGGGAGAAAATCGGGAGTGATTAGGATAATCGGGCGAAATCGGGAGTTTACAATCAGTTTTATGTGCCCCTGTTCATTAAGAATATAAATGGTATGGTATTTCGGTTAAAATCATATGCTTTCTTAGGATGCACAGGTGAACGGGATATGTTGGAATGCATGTATTGCAGAGTTAGGAGGTTCCCAATTCAAAAAATGTATGACAATATGCATTTTGAAAACGGGTAAGGACTTTAAAATATTCCTGGTGTTTGTTGTTTTAGGATAATACATATTTTGTTTTTGTCTCATCTTCGACATAGGAATGAGAATAACAATTATATTTACCTAAATACAAGCAGGGGGGACTCCTCCGGATTTCCCCATAGTATGTATCCAACAGACCGAATATAATATTCGGTCTGTTATGATTGATACCCTTCGCATGGAAATCGCGGCGATATTTTGTGCACATAAATTTCTCGTTTATTACAAGAATGTTCACCTTGAAAATTGGTGAATATGTTAAAAAGATGTTCATCTTAAACTAGAAGCAAATATATTTGTATAAGGCGGGTACAAGTTGATATAAAATAATGAAATGTTCAGACTCACCAAAACTTCAGGATGTGTTCAGAAGTAGATCGAAAAATCAATGTCAAGGACGTTTGAGTTCACGAGATCCTAACGAGATATGCAAATTTTTGAACTTTGACTTTTAACTTCAAACACATGACCACTTGATTACCCCGGCCTTCCAGTCATGAATATTTCCGCTCTATTTACTATAAATGACGAAAATTAATCGGGATAATGATAATAAATGACGAGATCTAATAAATTCCCACACAAATGGAATTTATCAATACGCTTCCGTAATGTTGCTCCATCCGCTCCAAGTGTTATTTGTTTACAAATAGACTGACGTCACTGGCTAAATCTCGTTTATCGTGAGAATTGGCATTGCCAAAATGGCTTGACCTAATCAATGGCTTCGCTACAAGAAGCGTCTGTATATTTTATGAATATCTTCAGTAAGAGGACAATATACAAAAAAATAATATTGTAAGTTCTTTATAAGGTATTTTATCATTAAACAAACTTATTTGTAACATTTATACAACACCACATTTTACAATAGGTGACTTACAGTCTGAATTTATTCAGAATTTAGAATTTTTTGTAATCATAGTAGAGCTATAAGTGCAGAAAATATAGCTGAGCAAAGGAACAAAGGACAGAGGGTATTTACAAGGATAACAATCAGATAAAATCAACACGGTTTACAACATCAACTATTTATTTACAACATAAAACAATACATGCACACAGTAATATGAAACAAGCCACAAACAATAATATATAAAATGGAAATGGCACTAACGAGATCAAACACCGGAGCGCCAGAGGGCAAATCCACGCCCTAACTTCCGTTATCGTAATACAACATCAAGTATTTGATCTCAAACTACTACTAGTGATAAAGACCTTGTGTACCTCGTTGTACTATACCTAATGTACTTCCGTATATCAACCCTAGTATCAAATAGCCAAGACTCAACAAAACATGGTCCAAAATCCAAAATCAAACAAGAGGCCACAATCACACAGTCTTCATCACATCCTGCCCTCTGGTCAACTGACAAACTCAACCTTGTACAACTCACACATGAAAGTCAACTCTACCGGAACCAGTTGAACCAATGAGAACTCTCTATTCCAAATATCGTCATATGACTAATTAAAGTGTACTGGTTTTCAGCAACAGATATCGATCTAAATTCTATAACTTGTTCCAACAACAGGTTTCTATAATGTTGTCAGTTCTATTTACACGACGTTAGCATCGGTTAGAAGTTAAAAACATGAAAAGCCGTAATCAAGCAACCGTAATGCCTGGGTCACATTTGCCCCGATTCATCGGCCGGCGCATATGACCAAGGCATTACACAAGGTAATCGGACCTTTATTGACTGAAATAGAATGTTTTCGATCAATATCGTATTGCGCAGAATTATCCGTAACTCGCGTTTTGATCCAAATTATGTGTCGAGTTAAAAATGATTTTCCAAATATTGGTGGTCATACATTTATCCGTGAAAATATGTTTAAGTGGTCCTGAGCATGTCTCTCGGGTCTCTGCATAACAATATCACCATATCTTTTTTTAGTTTTGTAGGAATAATCTCTCAAGGCTTGATCTAATTTGAGATATTTTACATTAATCAGTAAATAGAGAACACAAAATGACTCTATGTAACATTGTGATATTTACCGATAGAAACATATATAAGCATCTCTAAAAAGAAAAAAAGAAATCACGAAAAATGTTCAACGCTGCAACTACTGGCTCAAATATGATAATTCATTCAGTATTTTAGGTCATGGACTGTGTTTTGTCTCGCCTCCCCCAAATTACCTATGTCTATATCTAGGAAAAGTATTTACCCAAGGTTTTTTTTACTAATAAGGTAGATCATATATACACTCCCCTCCATAAGTTTGGCAACCTTAGCTCCCCATTGAACCAAGTGTTAAAGCCTCTTTACCTTTGAATTTTTATTTATTAGTTAACATGCGATGAAAATATTTATAATATTGATGGACACGTTTTCCTCAATTACAATAGGTCCAAAATTGATGATAAATTTGATGAATTTTTGAAAATCGACATTCCCATGTTAACCAATGGGAAATGGTAGGTTTGTCGCAATTCATATGACAGAATACCCATCCATCCGAGTCCTTGCAAAAAGTACAAGTTAGGTAGGCAATTGAATTAACTTTATTTAACAAAAAATTGCTACGTTTCTTCAGGTTCAACAAAGCTATAGGTCTTTAATGTAAAATTGTTTTCCAAAAACCTCTCCCATTGAAATAACACAGGAGGCGAAAATTGATTTTTAAAATGACTGAAGCTCTGTTACTTTAGTATTCATCAAGTAAACAAACACTTAGTGTACGAAAATGTTAGACAATTCAATTTTCTATATGAAAAATTTTTTTTTGCTGAATCTTTTACTACATAGATATCCTGATTTCTGATTTGCCCCGAACCCACCATTTCCCATTGGTTTACATTGGAATGACGATCTTCAAAAATTCATCAAATTCATCATCAATTTTCGACCTATTGTAATTGAGGGAAAAAAATTAGAAAATTTGGAGGTATTGGAAATAAAGTCAAATTACGTTTCCAACAATAGTATAAGTATTTTAAACGCAGGTTAAGTAAATAAAAATTCAAATGTAAAGAGGCTTTAATACGTAGTTCAATGGGGGAGCTAAGGTTGCCAAACTTATGGAGGGGAGTGTACATCTATCACATTCATTTCCGTTACCTGATTAACAATATATTATAAAATGTTGTTTTTTAATTGAAAAAAGTAAATAGTCTCAATCCTATGTCACTTTGACCTACATTTGACCTCATTTAACCTATTTTGAGATTTTAATACACTGTCTTCGAGAGTTTTGAATGAACTTTGATATGGTACCTTAGTCTTAACAGTACCTCTTCAAATGCTCGACAGTGTTTTGAAAATAACATTGCCCGCATTAGGGTTAAAAGAATTGAAAACGAACAATCACAAACTATTCATTAAGTCTAGTGTTGCCTTTTACAAATACTGTACTGCTATTAGCAGTATATATCAACATTCATTGTAGGAAAAAGTCCGATTTATTAGAAAAATTGAGTTGTTAGTTGTGTTTCATGAATAAAATAATTAATATGAGGATGATTAAGTTATTGGCAAAAAATAAGTTTACGTTTTGTTATGTTGCCCATTGTACTCAAGTTTGACTCGCTATAGCTAGAAACTACATATAAAACTTTTTACATCAAATCATTGTCAAAATAAAACTTTTTTTCATTTTTTGACACTCAACTCTTTATATTATATAAGTATAGATCAAACGACCATGAATGATGCATAATATATGTACAAAACAAAACAATAGGCATTGACACTCCCCTCCAAAAGTTAGGCAACCTTTACTCTGTTGGATTACAATGCTAATGCCTATTTATGTTTGAATTTTTATTTGCATAGTCAGTAAAGAAAATACCATTTCGAATAAATCCAAGATTTTTAATTTACAAATCTGAAAATTGTTTTCTAGCTTTTAGTAAAAAACAAAGTCGGTGACACCCACTTCTTTGTCTGAATATGAAGCAGAATGATGATGGGAAGATTATAATACGAAATTACACACTTTCACGTAAAGTAATTTTCAGGCCTAGGTAGCTACAACTACCTTAATTTAAAATATTTTTGGTTGTCCAATACTGGATTAAAATACCTTCTAATTAACCTACAGTTTATCACGTTTTTACGTATACTAGATCAATAGAGCTATAATTTAGGATATATTGATAACTGAATAGATATTATAGGAAGCTACAAAGCTAATACCAAGAAAGGTGATTTTAAAAATGCGATATGATATTGAGGACATATGAAAGTCTCCTTCCGAGGCTAAACAAATCATGATATAGGTATAACTGTCGAATAAGTTTCATCTACTGTATGAATTAGATTGGAATTGTAATAGATAACATTTTGCAAGACATTTACAACCCCTGAAATTTTTAACTTTTCATACGCTATCCATACGCCTCATAGGTACTTCGCATGTCCTCTTTGAACCTTAGGTTGTTATTGGAAAAAATGGACGTCATGGAGTAGTTGCTCAGAATGTATTCCTGGTCGACCAAGGCTGACAGAGCCGCTTGAAATGGAAGATCTTGAAGAGGAACCAATTGAATTAATTGAGACTAGAGATTTACACTCTCCGCTCGTTCCAATAAGGTGTGATGGTAAAAAAACGTGCACAAGACGTCGTAGATATTCGTGTCCATTCGTCAAGTTCGAATCGTACGAGGGCTGTAAGGGTAGTGACTTTGAAGAACAAACTCAAGAGTTTCCATGTTATTATTCGTCAATTGCGTGCTTGTTTTCGGATTATTGAAGTCATAAATGTTATATTGAAAGAAACGTGCATGCCCATTTGTAGTGCCAATTATAAAAGTAAAAGGACCAACATTTGTTATAGTTATTACAGAACACAGCAAGACAAATAAAACATTAAGTTTACACCAGTCATGGGGAAAACAAACTCAAACTTCCCAAACCATAATATGACCATCCAAGTACCCCTATCACAATCCAGGACCCTGACATCAAGGGATATTTTTATATATGCACCGATACTCTAGTCTAGTCCAACTATGATTAATAAAAGTTAGGGTTTAAAGAACCACGAAATGTATTGCAACAGATTTCACATGTTGGATTTTGGCTATTTTAACAGGTACATATGTTAGGCCAATCCATTAACTCAAGGACAAGCACTTATAGAGATGATAAAATAATTTGGACTTCGAGTCAGGGAAGGTGCAAACACCCCACCAACATTCTTTTCAAAAATGTTTCCCTGATTAGAAAATTGCAATCATAAATATTAATTCACAGCCTAAAAACAAGGAATCACACTGTGAAAAAATAACACACTTTTAGTCAAAAAATCAGTCCAATGACAAACCGACCACCAATGTTACCGGTTAAAAGTTACCAATATAACAGAATATGAATTGTTGATAAATTCTCTTTTTAAAGGTGTTTTATCATAACAGTATTAGGAAAACCGCATTCAACCTGCACTAAGTCTTTGTCAGGTTATACCTCTAAACACAAACTCAATTTTGTAGCAGCGCTTACATGAAAATGTGGTACATTAGTACATGTTGCAAATAAATTGTTAACATGGTAGATATTAATCATGTTGAAAAATATCATGAAATGTTCATTTAATAAAAAAAATATTGGGACAGTTTTACATGTAATATTGACTTAAGACGGAAAAGTTATTTTTCATTATGAATTAATTCATAATTCATTTTTATTTGAATTTGCTATTATTCCAGGTAGATTTATTTTCTACAACATACATCTCTTACATACACATTACAGACGATTAACTCTCTGAAATAAAATATTATCTGCTTCACAATATCGATTTTATCCATTAACGTGTTACAATTATGTGAGTGTATGTATTATCAATTATACACACACGGGACATCGCTAACATGCTGTCCTGCAAGAATCTTTTGGGAGTAGTCATTTTTATCACCGTGCTAGGTATGTTCACATATTTTCTTCTTTTAATTCAAAATGTTATCTATTTGTGACAGTTGACACACCGGAAGAGCTACTCCTGATATCATTAAATGTATTCTCCCATGAAATATTATTGAATAACGATTTGAAAAAAACATTACATGTAGCCTATACAATTAAAAACAGTACTGAGTATTAGTTTATAATTGAAAAATATAATATTTAAAACAACTTTATAAGCCCGAAATTAAATCAACATGATTGATTAAATTGATGACCAGTTTGTAAGACGCGTTTACACGAAATGTTAATGAAGGAACAGAGTGGCAAATGTGTCTGATCCTGTTATTATAATTGATTGATTATACATAATCGACTATAGTACTGCTTTAAATTATACTTTTCAGGTAGTCTGGTAGATTCAAAGTATCATGCTGACTGCATGAAGAAATGTAAGACAACAGGAATTAATATCAAGAAGTGTAGGATATCGTGCAAGATTCCAAAGGTAGGCAAAAAACTTGCAAAATGCCACCACCTTCCATTCGTTACCGACGCCAACTGCCAAACTCCGAACACCGTCTACAAAAATAGTTGGAAACTATAACAAAAGGCTTATGTCAGGTGGTGACCTATTAAAACTAAAGTACCGTCAAAGTGTATACATTTCAGCTATAGCGTGTATATGTATTCATCTCATTAATTTTCTAGTTTGTAGAGAGTAAAATATTCTTTCAATGACAAATGATACGTACATATCAATAGTCATATCCATCTGTTAGGGAGCCTTGTAAATGTCTTCCTGTTCGTTTAAAATTATAATGTCATTCCGTTGCATTGTGATGTTTACCATATTTAATTTTTACGTAGGTAGCACACTTGAATGGAACATGTTGGAATGTATGCGTTGCAGAGTTAGGAGGATCGCAATTCAAAACATGTATGACAAAATGCATTTTAAAACCAGGTGAGTACATAACATACTTAGTATGTATATATTCCATAACTACCAGGCGGTCGATAGGTTTATACACTTCTCAGTTTGACCAGTTTCGTTGGGAAAATATTGTTTTCTCAGTAATTCACTACGGTTTTTTTCGCAACCATTATAGAGAATGAGTTTTTTAGAGTAGCTTGCAACCATTTGTCCCATGGTCATGGAAAAATACTACAACCTCATAAATAATATAGTAATATTGCATTTTATCAGTTAATTGCCAATGGAAGCAGTGGACGGACTGGGGAACGTGTACAGAATGTTTGAAATGTTGCGAGAGACATTGCATAAGGACCAGAGGAAAAACACCAGCACTTCGAGGCGGAAAACCGTGCATGGGGTCTCATATAGAATACCAGGTCGTGAAATGCAGCAAGACTGAGTGCTCGCGTATGTAACTTTATAAATGAAAAATTACACTGCCATGCGATATATCAACATGTAAATGTTGAAACGTAATTTTTGTTGAAGCTTCCAATAAGTTATTTAAAATCAAACAACAATATACTGAAAATGGCATTCACTACAGTAGCCATAATTTACCTGTATGTGTTCTGTCGCAATTTTTCAATTATGAATCGCACCATACTTCATCATGTATGGTACACCTGTGTATAGATAAACATAATATGCAATGGCCATTTTATTTTATTATACCAATTGTGTAAATATTATTTATACTGAACATAATTTTTTTAATACTTTTTTAATGCACAATAAAAACAACAACTTACAGGATCTGAATAGCGAATATGAGCATCCCGAGTAGCAACTCAAATTGCGCCTTAATACAGCTAGCCTTCAATTTTATGTAGTTTATTGTATGTTTTATGTAGAATAGTACTGCTTTCTTTCAGTACACATGCAACCTATCACAAAATTGTCCATTCAATAAAATGATTTAGCTTATATATTTTCAATCATATGTAGATACCTGACCATTGAATTGCTATTTTATTTGTTATGGTTTGTATGGAATATGCATTCCAGAGCCCGATCCAAGTCCAGGAACATGCGGTGGGTGGGGAGTCTCACATTACACAACATTCGATGGGTTGCGTTATGACTTCCAAGGTGATTGTAAATACATCCTTTTACGTTCAGTCAACGGTGCATTCAAGGTGAGTAAATAAATGGATCAGTAACACAGAAATACAGTCCTCTATAAAAGTTTGGAAATGGGGGAGTCTCGTTTTGGAACTTATCAACGCCTATTTATGCTTTGTGATTTCAAAAAAATCATCAAAATTGTCATATATTTCCAAAACATTGAAACTGAGGAACAAAATAAAGATTTAAACATCACCAGAAGTTTGTCTAATAAAGATTTACGGTTACAAAATCTAGTGTTGAGGTGATTTAATGGCTTAGACAAAAGTTCGACCATTATTAGCTGTTAAAAGTACAATTTCCAAACCTAATGAATGCTCAAAAAATCTTAAAAAATCGTTTACTTACATTACAGCCTGCAAAGCATATTAGCGTGTATGCCCCATCAATATTCAAATATAGCTTAATTCAATTAGAAAGACCAATAACTCTTAACTTATTTTTAGATTGAAGTGAAACATATACGCACAACACCAACAAGCACCGTATCATTCACAATATACGCTGATGTATATGTAGGTGATGATGTCATACGTCTTGGACGCGTGTCTCCCGTGACGGTAAAATATATGTTCGTTTCAGGGTTTTAGACTTTTCTAGATCAAGAATGCAGATATTCATGTATATAATATGATACTTATGTACATATAGTATTTATAGATTATAAATAAGTAGTCTAATAAGCAATATGCCATAAGGAGAAATATAATATTACAATAAGTTATACATTATCCTTATTCTGCTAACTATCTGGATTTATAATTGATATGTTCGTATCCTTTACAGGTGAACAGAAATCCAATAGCCCTGTTCCCTTATAATACTGATCTTTACTCCATTGAGGTCAATGGGGCTACTATAACATTCAACTGTCTTGTACTCTCACTGAATGTAGCGTTCAACGATGGTGTCAAAATCAAGCTTGGACGACAATGGATGAATAAAGTAAGTATAAAAGGACGGGTGTCACCTACCCTTTGCATTCGTTTGACTTCACTTCTTAAAAGAGAGCTTCGTCGTGTAGTTTAACTAGAATCTGCACGCAGGGTATATGTGTCACCTAGGGAAGTCTAAAGCGTATAACAAAATACACTAAGGAAATAAGACTTAGAGCATAACCAGTCAAAAAGGAAACAAACCAACAAGCTACAGTTATATAAAGAACAAAAGGTTGTAAAAATATCAACTGTGACAGATCACAAAAATAAACACTAGCTAGCTATCCCCATGTACGCGCGCATATAGGCACATACACACATGCACGTACATTTCAGTGGGTTATTATCATTTTGAAGTGGTCAATGAAAAAAGTCTTATTTTACTGTACAGACAAGTTTAAATATATAATTCCTGTATCAAATAAATGATCATTTACAATGTGTTTGTAAGTAAAAGCAAATTGCATAATCGATAGGTAATCATTGTAGATAGATGGTCTATGTAAGAATTTCGATGGAAATCAGACTAACGATTGTACAGTTGCGTCAGGTTCTGATATCACTACACAGCCAAACAAGGGCACGTTGCTAGGAGACAGTTATCAGGTGTTCGATCCAGAAGAGCCGATGTAAGAAAGCGTAAAGCCATACTTCTTTTGAGTTGTATGATATTTCGTAATTTTTATATGATTTATGAACAAATGTTAAAATTTCAGGTGTAAGAGTAGTTTGGTGGATGATCTGCCAAACCAGTGTAAGGATGACAAAACATTGGAAGAAGCCAAAGTTGCATGTGAACTTGTAGTTGACCATGAAGGTCCATTTGCTGATTGTGTAAAAAGGTACTCTAGATGACGAGATGTTTGTTACATATTCAATTGAAATCGTGATCATAAATTAGTTTACTGAGTTACTTCTTATTTCAGCGTATGCTTTCTCATATTGTAGAATGTCACGGGGATTTTTACAGAATTTTTTAGAAGATTGTAATGTAGACCACTGTGGAAATCACGGGAATATATGTGACATTGCAGCGGCATTTGCCGATTTATGTAGGGAAAATGGTGTCGATGCGCCTTTGTGGAGGGACGTTTTCAACTGTCGTAAGTTCATCTAAAAGCCCGAAAGAATCCAACAAAGTATTATTTGAAAAAAATGAAGGCATGTTTAAATACATGTATTTAAACAAGGTTTTATTGTACAATAAAACCTGTCAAATTCAAACCCCAATGAGCCCAACTAAAAGTATTCTGATCAGGAGGTGCTCACATTTCAAAGTTTTTGCATTTGCATTTTTGAGGAAACATGAACACAGTCTCTATAAATATTCATTGTTCTATTTACCACAAAGCTTTTAAAATGCTCGCAATTTACAATATTCGAACCGTAACACTTCTGACGTGATAGTCAAATGTTTGCATCGAATCTCCTGTTGTCACTTTCCACAGTAATCGTACTAATGATCTTATTTTTGGTGAATCAATTTGAAGTACGAAGATGTGTAATGCTTATAAAACAATTAAATTTTTATCTTAGAAATGAAATGCGGAGATAATGAAGAATATTTGGCTAATGGTCCAGGTTGTGAGAGGAAGTGTTTAGAGGGCGATCAGAGATACTGTAACACACCTAAAAGAGAAGGATGTTTCTGTAAAATTGGGTATATCAGATGTAATGGCACGTGTAGTATTGGTAAAGGTACGTTGAAATCAATTGATACTGATTTTGCAGACTTGAAAATGAGCTGCATATGCAAAACCTTCCAGGTCAAAATATTTTTTTTATATTCACGGTTACATGTGTTGCAGGATCCCTTTGGATCATTGACATTTATTTGATCAAAATCCTGTTTTTAGATTATTGTTCTCTTTTTTGTAAGTAGTGATCTGAGGTTGCACTGAATCTAGTTGGGATATCTTTATAGTCAGGATCATTATTTGAGTTACTAGATGCATAACCAATTGTTTCAGATTACTGTCCGCCTAGTTCTGACCCAAGGTACAGGGCAACTGAAACGTGCTGTATGCATAGCTCCTGGCATTGGGCTCTTATTGATGGTAGCTACTTCACTCAGGACATTCGTGGTGGGGAGTTAGTAAAACATCTTTGCCCAAAGGGTCAAGTTTTTAAGGTGACCAGTCACAACGAATGCAAATGCATAAAGGGTATTTATAGTTTTAATAAGGATCTAGTCAAATAGTAAAAACATGAAATAAATTTTCCACTTAATCAAAAACGACATTTTTCAATATTGTCGTATAAGGTGCTGGTCCTTTTGACTATAGAGGACTCAGTAAGTAATTAATTACACATTCTATGTATAAAATACAATTTCTTGACTAATGTATCATTAATATATATTATATTTTTGATATCTTTTTAAGTGGCCCGAGTGGATGATAAAAGACCTCGAAAGTTTTGCACTTTTACATTGAGTTCCATGTTAATTGATCAATCTTCGAGTTTTTCGAGTGCAAATGAATAGCTCAATATATCGGATGACCCAACAAATTTTGAAAAGTATTTTCTCGTCGACTGATGAATCAAATTCACTGAAAATGTGTACAAACTAGCTGAGTATCATTAGCAAGTTGTAAAATGTAAAAAAGATCAAGTAAATAATCTGTGAGAACTAAGAAATTCCAAATAGCATGTCAAAAATTCCCTGGATAAAATAGGTCTAACTGGACTATATGGGAAGACAGTTGCCCATCTTGCCCTAAGTCTTGTGGTGGTCTGTTACTTGTGCACAAACCAAGAGCGGAAATGGACAATATTGCACACCAACTTTTAAAAATATGTCCAAATTTGGTTATTAGTTCATCTAGATGTTTAATTTGCAGGCTGTAAATGGTCAAACTGGGCTACTTGGAGCGAAATCTGCCCATTCTGCCCTAAGTCTTGTGATGGTGGATATGTTACTTGTACACGTATCAGGACCAGACAAGGGCCATATTGCACACCAATATCACCTATATCAGAGAGTGAAACATCAACCAAAATATGTCCAAAAACATGTAAGAATTCAAAGACAAGAAAGTTGTCAATTAAATATCTCACTAAACAGAACTGGTTAGAAGTGCAGATCTTAACTGTTTTTGAAGTTCTGTTTATGTAACAAATGTGAGAAAATAAATTAATGATTTTGTTCTTTTCTGAGCTATTTGTTCAAACACACGTATATCTTCTTGGGCATATGCTACTGACACACATTTGTGATAAATATGCCGTGGGAATTCTGCCTACAAGTCGTGAGATAAGAAAAAGCAAAAATTGACCCTCGAGGGTCGGACACTTTTTTTATCGAACCGATCCGTTTCAGTTAAAGTGTAATCGAGTGGAGTGCCAGTGCCATTTTGATAATGCACTAAGGCTTCACCTTCTTGCATTGTGTGAATAGTTTAATACATGCCTTCATGCTATCTAATTTGCAATATAAGATGATACAGGATTCTTTATTCGTTTTGTATGAATGGTTTCATTTCCTTAATCGTGTCATAATACCTGAGAATCTCGTTCACTTTTCTTAACGCAACATTTGAAAGGGTCGACATGCCACCATACTCGACTAACTTGCATTGCTGTCGCTGATCTAAGTGTAAAACTTGCAGGTTGCTGGTCGAACTGGACTCCTTGGAGTGAAAGTTGCCCTTCTTGCCCTGGCTGTGGTGGAGGATCAGTAATATGCACACATACTAGTACTAGACAAGGACAAAACTGTGCACCAAATGTTCAATTAGAAACTAAAGTTTCGACCAAAACTTGTTTGTCACCACCATGTATGTAATATTTCTTCTTTATCATTGAAAAAAATGTAAAAATGAATATAATAAGCCCTCTTTCCGGAATTCATACGGATTGGCGACATGAGTTGAATTATATCGGATGATATGTTTCATAATAGCTGAAAATCTCGTTCATCGTATACTAGTAAAAGTTTCAATTACAAACTTATTAATCTTAGAGTTTACGTTGATCTACATGTAGATGTTCAATTTACAGGTTGTGCATGGTCAACCTGGGCTACTTGGAGCGAGAACTGCCAATCTTGTCCAAACTCATGCGAAGGAGGATCTGTTACTTGTACTCGAGCAAGGACTAGGCAGGGACCATATTGCACACCAAAGACTCAATCACAGAATGAAACATCAATCAAAATGTGTCCAAAGATATGTAAGTAGTGGAATGGGTGATAGGTGTTTTTCGTGCGATGAAGTCTAAAAATTTTAATTGGTATAATCATTTAGGCCACCTAAAACTACATTTATTCATGAATTTTCAGTTTCCAATTTTTCAGCGTTAAGCGGCTGTTCCATTTTACCCCCCCTGAAAAACCAAAAGAGGGGTATGTATACAAATGCAGCCATTTCACCATTATACTTCGAGCAATTCTATTGAAAGTTCATGGGAACATACATTGTATAATAGACATGTATCATGCAAAATATGAGTGTGAAAGCTCTACTTGTTGCCATGGTAACCACTCGTTGAATTATAAAAATGACTGAAAAAGGGCGATTTTCGTACATTTGGATTGCAGTAAACTGAACTTATCTTGTTGTAAGAGATTGATTGATCAGTCTAAATATGCTTAAAAACTTCCCAGATGTGTATGGTACAAATCTAGGGGAAAAGTAAATTTTTGGGATGTTTCTTATATTTTACATGATTTTTTTAATATGCATACCCCTATTCAGGATCCATATGTGCTTTTCTTGTCTGTAATGTCAAAAACATAGATATCTTCAATATTTCAAGTTGAATCTTTTCTTATATTATACTGGAAAGCTAAATGCATATTAATGAGATCCATGGTCAGGATTAATGTAATATTTGTATCTGTTGCTCTGGTGACCACATATAACTATTAATTTTTCGCACATGTTCCATGTTAAATCGTGAAGACAGCAGATTTCATCATTTCAGGAATATTTGTCTTGCATCATTACATACACAATACACAGAGTAAAAGGTCTAAAGAGGTACTATATCTAGTATACTTAGATGGGGTTTGTCATGACTGACTCTTCAAAATTGAGGTTTTAAAAAAAAGCACATGTAATGAAAAATCAGAAAATGGAACTTGTTACAAGATTAAGTTGAAAACAGGTAAAATGAACTAATAACATTTATGACATATTATTCTCTTACATCTGAAGAAATTGAAAATACATTAAAACATAAATTTTCAGAATAGTTTACCATGAAATTAAGATTAAACTGAAAAAGTAAATGTCAAACAATATATATTTCAGGGAAGCAATGAGTAAACGAGTCTTGAGAAAGCGTGTTGCACCTGCATCAGAGGCTCGCGGTGAGACATCTAGGCCAACATATCTGTTTTCCGATTCCAAATGTATTTTTTGTGATAAGACTATTAAATATCTGAAAAACAATAAGAAGGAATATCTTACACAATGTACTACAAAAATAACTAGAGCAACAATTAATCATGCTATGCATATAAGAGAGGATTGGAACTTAATTCGCAAAATTGGCGGACGTGATCTTCTGGCTGGAGAGGCTTATTTCCATCAGGCTTGCAAGCGCTCATATTGTGAACCTAAAATTGTTGGAAAACCTGAGGTAGATGACTATGGTGATTTAATTGAAAAAACTACAGGGACAAATGTCAAATTTGATGAAAAAGAACCAGAGGAATCCAATGACCCATCATTCACCTACATATGTGAAAGGATATCCGAAGACATTATGCTTAGGAAGAATGTTGGTTCTCTTAATAACATTCACAAACAATATCAGACCCATAAACAAGAAAATGATCCCGTGAATTATCAAAAGGACTATCGCAGAAGTAGATTGAAATCTCGCTTGCAGTCTCATTATGGTAATAGAATAGTTTTACAGCCTGGTAAAAATGAGAAAGACATTTTGATTTATAGCTCAAGTCTAACTGTATCAGATATTGCCGACTCAGCTGCAATGGTAAATCAGACAAATGAACATGGATGCCTGCAGAAAGCAGCACATTATTTAAGAGACAAGATAATTGCTGCTAGTGAAAACGTCTCTCCAACAAACTGGCCACCATCTGCTTCAGAATTATCAGCAAGTATGTTCCACACTATTCCACCAGAGTTGCAATATTTTCTTATACTTCTTCTATCAGGCAATGACACAAAAATGAACAATACAAAATATAAACGCTTGACTCATACCATAGGGCAAGACATTTGCTATGGTGCAACAAATGGATCATTCAAAATGCCAAAACATTACTTGCTTGCGATAGCTATTCATCATCTTACAGGGAGTGCAGAGTTGATCACACTACTGAATCATCATGGCTACTGCACCAGTTACACAGAGGTCCTAGAAATAGAGACTGCAATATGTGAAGAGATTAAACAGCAAGTGTCATCCTTACCACCATCAATATCCATTTTGTCAAACCAAGTTCTGATGTATTGCTTCGATAATTTTGATCTCAATGAGCAGACTCCCAGTGGTTCAGGAACTACACATTCTACCCATGGCATTGTCATTCAAGAACAGAAATCTGTGAATCCTCACTGTCATCAAGACACAGCTATGGAGGTTGACGCACATACAGAGTCTAGTGAAAGTCAAGGTCAGCTGGAGCCAATGGATGATGATGGTGGTGATATTTCTTCAGAATCTCAAGGTGGTGTGCCAATCCTTCTACCTCAGTCAGATGAACATGTTGATGAAATTGTTGATTCTAGTGCTCAGCCTCCATCACTTGAACCAACTAAGGAACGCTACCCTAATGCAAGGAGATCAGTTAAACTGACAGAGGACATATTACCACCATGTTATGCAGTTAACAAAGCAGAACCACCTAAAGGGTTTGATGTCTTCACAATCTCAGAGGAAAGTGAGGTGGCATTAGCTAATGCTTCTAGAAGTGATCTGATGTGGATTTTGTGTCGTCATCAACAGTCAGAAAATCAGAGTGTCCCTAGCTGGGCAGGTTGGGTGTCACTAACAGGCAAGGGCTCAACTAATGTACCAGTTCAGTCTGTTATAGACTATCTTCCTCCAATAAACCACCCAATAACTGAGAATGCTACAGTTCAAGAGTGCCTGAATATTGCTATGCAAGGAACAGCTGAGGTGGGCCAACATTACACATTAGTAACATTTGATCTGGCAGCAGCCAAAAAGGCCCTGAACATTGTATGGCAATTTCAAAAATACTGTACTGTGATAGTAATGTTAGGTGTTTTCCATTCGCTGTGTTCTTATTTCTGCACCATTGGAAAATTTGTGAGGGGCTCTGGTTTTGAAGAGATACTGCTTGAATCAGAAATTTGTGCTAGTGGATCATTAGATGCAGTCCTTAATGGAAAAAATTACAACAGAAGCCTGAGAGTTCACAAGATAATGTATGAAGCACTGGAACGTATGTTGTTGGAGAAATTCCAGCAGGAACACCAACTAAATCCAGCTGCAAAGAAGAAACTTCAAGATCTAGCTGAAAACCTAAATGAAGAGCTTCTGCAGCAATCCCTCTCTGATAAAGATGTTAGTGAATTCTGTCAAAAATTCTTCCAGTTCAAAATGGACATCAGACAAGGGAAAATGGGTAAAACTCCACAGTTTTGGGTCCAGTACAGTGATATGGTTGGCACTGCACTTCAGTATATCCGTGCCACAAAGGAAAATGATCTCAACCTCCACATTGGAGCACACTCAGCCATGAATAGTGCATTCTTTGCCATGGACCATCAAAATTATGCCAGATTTCACTGTTACCAATTTCTCACCCTTCTCAACCTGGATAAGAGACATCCTGGTGCAACAGAGCTCATCTCAAACAATGGATTCTCTGTTTCAAGATCAGATGTATCATGCTCACGAAATCCTGTGGACATTACCATAGAACAAACTATCAATTGCAATGCAAAATCTAAAGGTGGTATTGTTGGTTTCAGTAGGAACAAGGGTGCATATCAGCGCTGGTGCGTTACACGAACACAGAGAGGACTGTATACAGAGGCTGCCCTTGATATAGCTGGAATGAGAGACTCAGACGATATCCTCCATAGAGACAACTCATTAGCCCAAGTAACAACATCTGAAGCTGGTGTAAAGTCAGTAATGCAGGCATTCAAAAGCTTCATCAACCCATTTGACATCAATGAGCCTGCTCTTCACTGTGTATCATCTGGTTTGCCAGCCCCAGCAGAAGTTCAAGGGCTGACTGATGCATTACAGAAAGGTTACCAAGCAAGTGAACAATTCATTGATAGACTGAGAGATCAAAACTCAGAACTTAAGTTTCACGATAGCATAAAAAAGATGAAAGTCGCAACATTTGCAAATTCTGCTGTGACCAAGAAGATGACAACTTCAAAAAATAAGGTTGTTGAAATCAGCGCCACAAGAAACCTATTTGGCCAACTACTTAATGTATCTCAAAACAGTGAGATTAGTCTTGAGAGGCTCATGGGATATTGCATGGGTCCTGTTCCTTGGCCTCTTGCCCTACCTGATGGCTCTCTAGCAAAAACACCAAAGTCAACACTCATTCATGAGCTGCAAGGGAATGACAGTATTCCATCTCCCCCATCTGAATCAATAACTATCTTGGATGGAAATATGAGTTTCTATCAAATGGAAAAAATAGCACCAACATTTGGTAAAGTTGCAAGAGACATATTCACACGCTTACCAAAATCCAAGAACGTACATTTTGTAACCGATTCCTACCATGAAAACTCCATTAAAGATCTTGAGAGAAACAAAAGGGGGCAGTCAGATCCAATTATCCTGAAGGGAGCCCACACTAAAACCCCATCAAAATCATGGAATAACTTCCTAACATGTGGCAAAAATAAAGAGGAACTTATCAAGTTCCTGTTACGTGAATGGCAAACCAAGAAGTATGCCAGTAATCTGAAGGGAAGAAACATCTACTTCTCAGACCAAGAGAATACAATTCTACTCACAAGTGATGGTGAAAAGGTTTATACTTCCCCAGTAAATGACCTAGCATCTAACCAAGAAGAAGCAGATACAAAGATAATTCTTCACATGCTGTTCGCTGCAAGACATGGAAAACCAGTAATTGTTCGATCCCTTGATACCGATGTCTTTCTAATACTCCTAAGGTATGCTGACAGGGTCGATGTACCGATATATTTTGACACTGGAAAAGGAGATGGGCGTCGCCTCCTTGACATCCAAGCAATAGCCTCCCGCCTGGGCCAGCAACTTTGTGAAGCACTGCCCAGCTTCCATGCTTTCACGGGGTGCGATAGCACTAGTGCATTCATTCGCAGAGGCAAGATAAAGCCACTCAAAATTCTTACCAGAGGTCCTCCAGATGAAAGGAATCGTTTCCTGAAACTGTTTACTACAATGGGAAATACTGTTGAGGTTACCAACCAAATGGAATCTACTGCTGAGGACTATGTTTGCAAAATGTACTCTAGAAAAACCAAGCTAAGGAACATCAACAAACTTCGCTATGAACTATTTCAACAAAGATATTCCCCCAAGAAATCAGGAGATGCTTTGACTTACGATGGAACTGACTTGTCACTGTTACCCCCCTGTAGAGACTCTATAATTCAAAAGTTGAAAAGGAGTAACTATCAAAGCTATATCTGGAAACAATCACACATTGCTGTCAGTGAACTCCCAAATGCCACGTTGCATGGCTGGCAACTTGATACCAATGGTAACATTGAGCCACAATGGTCTAGTTTACCCGTCTTACCAAAAGACCTTGTAGATCTGCTTGATGAGGTTGCTGAGCCTATTGTACTTGAAGATGCAGACTTCTTGGGAAGTGTTGAGGGTGGAGATGTTCTAGACAGCTAGAAAAGAAAAATGACTATAAACATGTTAAACTTCAAAACAATGCTAATGGAGGTAAATTTGTACTCTCATACTGTTTTGTGACATTCTCCATTTAATATGTGGTTACCATAGCAACAGTTACAAAATTTTTTCTGAAGTGTATCTTAGCTCCTCACTGTAGATTGAGTTTTCCTATTAATTATTCAGTGAAATATTGGTGATAGCCTACATAGTATACTATAAGAAACTCATTTTGACATTTTAATAGACATTGGAGAAATAATCAATTTCTCGTCTTGAATGAGGGTATGAGTATTAAAAAAATCATGTAAAATATAAGAAACATCCCAAAAATTTACTTTTCCCCTAGATTTGTACCATACACATCTGGGAAGTTTTTAAGCATATTTAGACTGATCAATCAATCTCTTACAACAAGATAAGTTCAGTTTACTGCAATCCGAATGTACGAAAATCGCCCTTTTTCAGTCATTTTTATAATTCAACGAGTCGTTACCATGGCAACAAGTAGAGCTTTCACACTCATATTTTGCATTATACATGTCTATTATACAATGTATGTTCCCATGAACTTTCAATAGAATTGCTCGAAGTATAATGGTGAAATGGCTGCATTTGTACACATACCCCTCTATTGGTTTTTCAGGGGGGGTAAAATGGAACAGCCGCTTAACGCTGAAAAATTGGAAACTGAAAATTCATGAATGGATGGAGCTTTAGGTGGCCTAAATGATTATAACAATTAAAATTTTTAGACTACATCGCACGAAAAACACCTATCACCCATTCCACTAAAGGATTGTTCCTTAACATTATCAGATTTAAATGAGAGAAAATATTCATAAGTATTTTATTAAACCAGACGTGTTCCAAAAATAGTTACCTTTATTGTTGAAATGTCAGTTTAATGTACATGTAAACTAAACTTGTTCTGTGTCCAAGTTCTTGTAAATAAAGTTCATGCATGTCGACTTATTCTCAACTAATATAGCCAATATGGCTAATTTAAAGTTTCAACTTGCAGGTTGTTGGTCAAACTGGGCTTCTTGGAGTGAGAATTGCCCTTCTTGCCCTGACTGTGGTGGAGGATCGGTAATATGCACACATACTAGGACTAGACAAGGACCAAACTGTGCACCAAATGTTCAATTAGAAACTAAAGTTTCGACCAAAACATGTTTGTCACCACCATGTATGTAATGTTTCTTCTTTATTATTGAATACATTTGTAAAAAATGAATATAATATGCCCTCTTTCCGGAATTCACACGGATTGGTGACATGAGTTGAATAATATCGGATGATGTGTTTCATAATAGCTGAAAATCTCGTGCATTGTATACTAGTAAAAGTTTCAATTACAAACTTATTAATCTAAGAGTTTGCGTTGATCTACATGTGGATGTTCCATTTGCAGGTTGTGCATGGTCAACCTGGGCTACTTGGAGCGAGAACTGCCAATCTTGTCCCAAGTCATGCGAAGGAGGATCTGTTACTTGTACTCGAGCAAGGACTAGGCAGGGACCATATTGCATACCAAAGACTCAATCACAGAGTGAAACATCAATCAAATTATGTCCAAAGATATGTAAGGATTGTTGCTTAACATTATCAGATTTAAATGAAAGAAAATATTCATAAGTATTTTATCAAATCAGACGTGTTCCAAAAATAGTTACCTTAAGTTCATTGTTGAAATGTCAGTTTAATGTACATGTAAACTAAACTTGTTCTGTGTCTAAGTTCTTGTAAATAAAATTCATGAATGTCGACTTATTCTCAACTAATATAGCCAATATGGCTAATTTAAAGTTTCAACTTGCAGGTTGTTGGTCAAACTGGGTTTCTTGGAGTGAGAATTGCCCTTCTTGCCCTGACTGTGGTGGAGGATCAGTAATATGCACACATACTAGGACTAGACAAGGACAAAACTGTGCACCAAATGTTCAATTAGAAACTAAAGTTTCGACCAAAACTTGTTTGTCACCACCATGTATGTAATGTTTCTTCTTTATTGTTGAATACATTTTTAAAAAATGAATATAATATGCCCTCTTTCCGGAATTCACACGGATTGGCGACATGAGTTGAATAATATCAGATGATATGTTTCATAATAGCTGAAAATGTCGTTCATTGTATACTAGTAAAAGTTTCAATTTCAAACTTATTAATCTTAGAGTTTGCGTTGATCTACATGTAGATGTTCAATTTGCAGGTTGCGCATGGTCAACCTGGGCTACTTGGAGCGAGAACTGCCAATCTTGTCCCAAGTCATGCGAAGGAGGATCTGTTACTTGTACTCGAGCAAGGACTAGGCAGGGACCATATTGCATACCAAAGACTCAATCACAGAGTGATGCATCAATCAAAATATGTCCAAAGATATGTAAGGATTGTTGCTTAACATTATCAGATTTAAATGAAAGAAAATATTCATAAGCATTTTATCAAATCAGACGTGTTCCAAAAATAGTTACCTTTATTGTTGAAATGTCAGTTTAATGTACATGTAAACTAAACTTGTTCTGTGTCCAAGTTCTTGTAAATAAAATTCATAAATGTCGACTTATTCTCAACTAATATAGCCAATATGGCTAATTTAAAGTTTCAACTTGCAGGTTGTTGGTCAAACTGGGCTTCTTGGAGTGAGAATTGCCCTTCTTGCCCTGACTGTGGTGGAGGATCAGTAATATGCACACATACTAGGGCTAGACAAGGACCACACTGTGCACCAAATGTTCAATTAGAAACTAAAGTTTCGACCAAAACATGTTTGTCACCACCATGTATGTAATGTTTCTTCTTTATTATTGAATACATTTGTAAAAAATGAATATAATATGCCCTCTTTCCGGAATTCACACGGATTGGCGACATAAGTTGAATAATATCGGATGATATGTTTCATAATAGCTGAAAATCTCGTTCATTGTATACTAGTAAAAATTTCAATTACAAACTTATTAATCTTACAGTTTGCTTTGATCTACATGTAGATGTTAAATTTGCAGGTTGTGCATGGTCAACCTGGGCTACTTGGAGCGAGAACTGCCAATCTTGTCCCAAGTCATGCGAAGGAGGATCTGTTACTTGTACTCGAGCAAGGACTAGGCAGGGACCATATTGCATACCAAAGACTCAATCACAGAGTGAAACATCAATCAAAATATGTCCAAAGATATGTAAGGATTGTTGCTTAACATTATCAGATTTAAATGAAAGAAAATATTCGTAAGTATATTATCAAATCAGACGTGTTCCAAAAATAGTTACCTTAAGTTCATTGTTGAAATGTCAGTTTAATGTACAGTCCATCTTTTAACGAAAGTGTCACTTTGCCGTCCGCCGTACACTCCTTTGCCGTGCGAGTGCGATACCCTTGTTTTACTTGAGCGGCGCGGTCGCTTCGCGTGTGTGACTACCTCGCGTTTACCTTGCTTTGCGACAGGACTTAACCCGCGAACCGTTCGTGCTTACACAGTGTTGCCTTCGCTCAACGATTGTATACGCATATTAATTAAACTAAACCTACATTATTTTTCATTTACATATGTAGTAGAGACTATATTAACTCAACTTTCAGACAAGATTTTAGTGTTGCGTTTTTCTCAGTTTCAATGAATATTTGATTCGTCTAATCTGTTTTGAAAAAGAATACAATTAAAGTGATTACGGATCATTCCATTTCACATTGGTCCAGTGGCACACATGTACAAACATTTGAAGCAGTTGTATACGCTTTTCGGTGATTTAATTTTTTTTTAAATTACGTTTATTAATAAGTCGACAGGAATGTTACGCCTATTCTTCTTACAGTAGTTTCGTGCGCGTGTGTACAGTCCCGGAGTAGTTTTGATGAATTAACCTTTTTGGGGGGACGTGCTCTAGTTGCACTCCGGCCTTCAATACTACATCATACACGGCCGGTCGGCTCTGACGAAACCCAGAGCAATATAGCAACCATGTTACAGTCTGAATCCACTTTTCTGGCTCTAAACAAGCCATTTGAGAAACTGCATTAATCGGTCTATAATTCTGCAATTTGTCGTCGGAATTCTTAATAAATAACACCATGGTTAAGCTCGGAACGATAGCTTCCCGATGGTAAAAAAAATAAATTGAGGGAGGGACAGGAAACCCAGGGGTTCATATTTATTATATGTTCACGTACAAGTTCTCTAAAATACGTGTACATGTAGCTAGCCTCTCTGTTTCTACGTACACAACATCCTGTAAATGCACAAACTGTACAAAGAATATCCAAAGAAAATCCTATATAACATCCATAGTAAGAACAATGTAAAGTATTTTCCATAAATAAGGGGTTTAAATTTAGTGACATGACATATGTTGTCATAGATATAGTTTATTTCTACTCCCGGGCACAAGGGCCGATTACAGCTTGAAATTGTGAAATTGCAACAGACACAATTACGTACATTATGTATCTATGTAATTATGTACAACAGTACATAATTTCGGCAATAGCAAATACACCAAACGTGTGAATTTAATAACTACATTATGATATTCTGTCTCGATATTCTGTATTGGCACTCGACTTCGTCTCGTTCCAATACGGAATTTCTCGAGCAGAATATATCCTGTATTGCACTTCAAATCATTCAATAACTTTTAATATTATTTACATCCAAAACGTATCGTTCTTACTCTATTGATTCACAACAAGCAAATCTAGGGAGTATCACAAATAAAACAAGCATTTCCTCGCGTGCATTTAACTTCTACAGTGAGTAATTATATGTACTCCCGTGGGTTCTCAAAGTTTCACTTATTTTAGGCACCCCCCCCCCTGGCCAAAAACTCTTTCAAAATCATGCAGTTTTTCATAATTCTGACCATTTTTCGTGTGATTTTGGGTCAAATTTGCAAAATGAAGTCTTCGAATGAACATTCATTTGCCATGATAACCACCGAGATGCAATGGTCAACTTTTGCTTTTACGTTTAATTATAATCAACGCCTTCTCTAAATTTCTTGTTAGATCATGAATGCCTGACTTCACCAAGCATTTAAATTATATTTTGCGTTTTATCATCTTTCCCAAAAGCTACAATTCATGCATATGGTACAACTACTACTAACTGACTTTGGTTTATCATTCTTTTGTTGCAAATATGGGAATGTTTCAACGACTTCAATCTAGGGATTTATATAGACGGGACTTCCCCTTTTGATAATGTAATTATATATTTTTCTGTTTTGTAGGTTCCCGTGGGTAGGATACACACAAGAACAATATACGGCCCATCCTAAAGGGGTACAGACACAACAATGGCGTTCTTCAAGTTATAGCCGTGGAATTATATAGTTTATGCATCTTGCCTCAAGCGACGTGTTAAGTCTGACGTGATAACCCTAAAAAGGTTTATCCCATATTTGGTTTGAGAAACACAGTTGCTGAATACAAGTGCAAACTATGAAATAACCATAATATAACAATAGATAATGTTTGGCATGCATTGTGTTTCTGTTTCATTGTTAAATTAGTTGAAAGTATATACAAAGAAGTTAATCACCAGGAGGGATTTCATATGGGGAATATCACATGATATGAATATATCCCGAGGGAACGCAGTGACAGAGGGAAATATTGATATCATCCGAGGGATATTCTCAATATCATCCCGACAGGTGAATAACGACCTTATACCATGATCAAGAGCAAAATATATCTAAAATCCTCTTTTGAATGAGAGAAAATGTTTGAAAAAATTAAAATTTTTGTTTTTGAAAAATGAAATTTTTTAATAATACCCGGGTTGATATCCATATCATCCCTCTAATCCCAATATCATCCATATCCTAAATATATGATTTATCACTTGCTATTGAATACTGAGATATTGCTCTGACCATGTTATAAAAAGAATAACTTATCATAAGCAGATTTCTTTTCAGGGTGTTCAGCGGCGATGTAGGACTGTAAATAAGCGTCACACACCCCGGACGCACATTTCCTCGGATATTAGATCAAATAAGCAGTTATACCTGTTTGCATGTTTTACTTTTGATTTGATTTGATTGTTTAAATTACATAAAATCTAATTTAAGTTCTAATTTAAATTAGATAAAATGCGTTCAAATGTCACCAGTGTCTGGAGGGTTGAGACTTGATTTAGGAATTAAATTAGAATAAGATTTTTTACTATCTGATTTGTTTCCATCATTGTATAACGTTGATCTCATTGATTTATTTTCTAAACCATTTTCCGTTTTGTTGCATGAGTTACTATCTTGATTTCTGTTAAAATAGATAATGCGTTGCAACCATTTAAATCCTTTTATATATCCTTTTTATATCCTTTTTTGCTTGTAACCATATTAATTAATGAGCATATGTTTAGAGGGGCATGCCGTTTTATTTTGCCATCTTCATTTTATATTATCAGCCGTATCTTGATATGTTGAGAATTCTTCAGAGACAACTCCCAGACACTATCATGGACCGACTACTTTCTTTAAAGTATAAGCTGCGGCCTTCTTGCCAAGGGGATTTTTTATTTGACAACTATGACAAGGATCGGAATGATATAAGCAAAAAATATTCAAAAATTCTTGTTAAGTCTCGGAGTTTGCTTGCTAAATCTGATTTTCCCCTTAATTAATGAGCATAGGTTTTTATGTTTGTTTCTTTGTTTTTATTTCTTATTTGACAAGTCACATGCATGATGGGTTTATTTTACGCGTTTATTTTGCCATCTACATTTAATATTGTTATCTGTCTTGATAAGTTGGTAATTGTTCAAAGATATCTCCGAGAAACTATCATGGACTGGCTACATTATTCATAAGCTGCTTTTGCCGAGGGGGGGGGGGGCTCAGCCCCGTCAGAAACTTTTCTTCAAGGGTGTGTGGTTTTACCCCCCCCCCCTTGGGCCTGATCCGTTTCTATTTTCATACCCAACATGGACTGCGTGTGTGCGTGAGTGGAGGGTTTGGTATAATGGGCTTCTAGAGGGGTACTTGGCAGTCAGAAATTGTTTACGCCACCCCTTCCCTCTATCAAATGAACTATGCATGTAGATTCCTCACATGCATAGAACTATGCTTTGTGTGCTTTATGTGCATTGCAATAATATCAAAATCAGAATTACGCCTTGTTTTCTAGTAACATTCAACAAAAACAAACGCTCAACTAATTGAGACGTTTGATTACTTAATCCAGCGACCATTTCCCGTCATTACATTGCAATGGTATGGTGGCCAGAGGAAATGAGCCTGTATTGATATGTGATTATGGATTAAAGTGAGTTACTAAGTAAGTGGAAAAGCAACTTTTAGAAATCTAAATTATTTTATACCATTCGCACAGACATTCAATAGGCTAGTTTTTTTTATTCATTTCATTCCTATCCAACAGCAATCATCCATGACTTTTGATAAAGAGTGAAATCAACTGTTCAGGCTTCATCATCTTTTGAAACTTCAAGAAGGGAACTTAATTTACATCTGTTTTACTGGTTCAATTTGAATATTCAATTAAGGTTTTATCTCCATTATAGATCTAGGAACTGTTTGGGATGCGGGTTTTGGGTCTTATATCTATGTCACCACCACAAGTAGAGACATTTGTCTCCAACTTTTTTTTGTGAACGATGTTTGGCGGTTGGTGTTCGGCGTTCGGCATCTGCAACAGTAATGCAATAGTACTTTGATTAATGATTATTATGGTTATACTTGTAGTGTCATCTTGTAGTATCATGGGAACCAAGGAAACTTGCATGGTATTGATAATCCTAAAAAACTTTTAACCCATATAATAATAAGCCTTTTGATAGCAGTTTGATTTTTCATCGAACATAATTGCAATCAACTCCATGATATTTGGAAAGAGCAAATATTTTGAAAGCAAGTGTAATCAAGTTTCGAGATTTCTGATAAAGTTCAATCAAGCTATGACGAAATTAACTTCATTTCCCCATTGCATTGTATCCCCAGAAAATTAAACAGGTGGAGGCATTATACTGTTTTTAATTTCAAATTGATATCATATTACGCCTTTAATGTAGGCCGAGACCATCGTAACTAATTATCCTCAATTTTCTTATTCTTATTATTTAAAATGCAACTGTATTCTAAGATCCATTCCTGCACTTTATTGTGTTCAGTACTATGCAAAGGCGTAACCCGATAACCAATGAAAATAGAACCATTGGAT